AGTACAGAAATATAAACCAATGGAATAATAGGAGAGCCCAGAAATAAACCCTTGCATATGTAGTCAATTGATTTTTGACAAGGACCATTCAATAAACTGCAATTATGAGGTCTTAAAAAAAAAAAAACAGTCCTGGGAAAATTACCATGGGCAAAATAATGAAGGTAGACCCTCATCTTATACCATACACAGAAATTAACTCAAAATGGATTAAACAAGCCACACATGGTGGCTCACACCTACAATCCCAGCACTTTTGAAGGCTGAGGTAGGCAGATCACTTGAGCCCAGGAGTTCAAGACCAGCCTGGGCAACATAGGGAGACCCATCTCTACAAAAATTGGGTGTGGTGGCATACACCTGTAGTCCCAGCTGCTCAGGTGGCTGAGGTAGAAGGATCACTTCAGCCTGGGAGGTTGGGGCTGCAGTGAGCTGTGATTGTGTTGCTGTACCCCAGCCTAGCTGACAAAGTGAGATCCTGTCTCAAAAAAATTTTTCTTAATGAATCAAATACTTAAATTTAAAAGCAAAAACTATAAAACTCTTGGCAGGAAAAACTTCGTGATCTTCGATTAGTCAATCTCAAGTGTGACATCAGGAGTACAGGCAATAAAAGAGACACATTAGACTTCCATCAAAATTTAAAACATCTGTGCATCAAAGAAAGTGAAAAGACAATTGATAGAATGAGAGAAAATACTTGCAAATCATGTATCTGATGAGAGAGAGATTAATATCCAGAATATATACAGAATTCCCACAACTTAACAAGAAAACAACCCAATTTTAAAACAGGCAAATGATTTGAATAGCCATTTCTCCAAAGAAGATACGTAGACGGCCAATAAGCACATGAAAAGATGCGCTTCAAATCATTAGGGAAATGCAAATCAAAGCCACAGTGAGATACTACCTCCCGTCTGTGAGGAATAGCTATTGTCAAAAGAAATATAAAGAAAACAGCAAGTGTCGGCAAGGATACAAAGAAAGTGGAAGCCTCATGCACTGTTGCTGGGAACATAAAATGGTGCAGCTGCTGTGGAAAACACTGGGCTCCTCACAAAGTCAAACCTCCACTTACCATATCGGCCAGCAACTGTCTTCCTAGGCGTAGCCCCAAAAGAGCCGAACAGGGACTCAGACACTTGTTCATGGCAGCACAATTCACATAACCAAAAGGCAGAAACAACCCAAGTGTCCATCAACAGAGGAATGGAGAAATAAAATGTAATTTATTCACACAATGGAATATTATTCAGCCATAAAAAAGAATTAACTTTTGATACATGCTATATGGGCAAACCTTGAAAACAAGTCAAGTAGCCACACGGATGATTCCACTTATATGAGGTAGAATAGGCAACTCCACAGAGACATAAAGTGAACACCGATGCACTGTTGACAGGTACAGAGTGTCTACTGGGATGCCGAAAAAGTTCTGAAGACAGACTGTGGTGGTGGCTGCACGACAATATGAATGTGTTCAATGTCACTGAACCTACATTTAAGTAGGGTTACAATGGTTTATTACGCATATTTTACCACAAGAAAATAAAAAATAAATCCAAATAAATAAAATATAAATAAATCCAAAAGTACATTCAAGTTTATACCAAAGGGGATCACTCTCATCAAGTGAGAAGGGCTCACAGTACAGAAACTGTTCATATTTTCCACCATATTAAAAGTTCAAAAACTGTGGGATCATCTGGAAGATACTGAAAAGTACATCAAAAATCTCTTACTAATTTATAAAAGCAAGAATTGTGAGTAGAGATGTACACTCTTTACCACACCAGAAAAGGTCCTGCATTCCTTACAAGATGGAGCAAGTAAAGGGCCACTGACCACCAACAGGACTGGGACTTGCTGGACACCCAGGGGCCGGCTTGTCCACATTTTCACATTTCTCAGATCAGAATGAGTCTCACAACCTATGTTTCCATTTTTTATTTTCATTATCAAATTAATGGTGTGTCTTAAAATCAATGGGAATCTGGTACGAGAACTTGCTTTGGAAGGCTGTGTGTGAGCTACGTGACCACAGCTCAGAGAACCAGGTAAGCATCATCTTCACAGGTTCTGGGTTCAAGATCCCCTTTGTAAGATTCTGAACCCAGAGTAAATACACATAAAAACACAAGGATTATGGTATAATTTCAAGTTCAAAGGAATTCTCTGGAGGAAAAAGTATAATTAAAAAATGGAGAGAGGAAAAGACAGGGTAGCGTGAATGAGCCAGTTCTACATCTCTCACGATGATGTCCACAAATACTAACATTGGTGAATTAATAAAAGATACAGGCGTATGGTTCAAGTGACTCAAGTACCTCCCAGATAAGGTCAAAACAGAAACGCAGCAGAGCGTCGGGGCTGCAGCATCAAGGTGCACGTGGGGAACACGGAGGGAGGCTCTTCCACTTTTCATTTCACAGTCTCCAAGCCAGAGCTGAGAGAAATGCTCTCTATGTGTGCCGCCCAATTTGGTAGTCACTAGCTTTACTTAGCTTCTTTTTTTTTCCCTCTTCTAACTAGAATAACCAGCGTATTTTTTTAGCTTCTTAAGGTAGACAATTAGATGATTAATTTTGTGACTTTCTTTTACTTTAAATATAAGCATTTAAAACAACCACAGATTTCCCTTTAAGCTCGGATTAGGTGCATCACATAAAATCTGACTTGTATTTTTATTTTCATTCAGTTTCTAATTTCCCTTGTGATCTCATGGGATTTTTTTGCAGAGGTATATTGTTTAGTTGCTAAGTATTAGAGGATTTTCTAGATAATTTACTGTTATTGATTTCTAATTTAGTTTGGTCATGGTCAGAGAGTAACACCTGGATGACTTCAGTGTCTAATACTGATTGAAGCTTTCCCCTTTCATGGGGTCTCCTTTCATAAATGTCCCATGTGGCATTGGAAACAATGTGTATTCTGCTATTGCTGGTTGGGGGGAGGGTCTGATTTATTGTTGATTGACGTATCTTTATTTTACTAGGTCAGATCTGTCAGTCTGGTGACAGCCTGGGCTGTCCATGGATGCAGAGTGTAACTATAGCTCCTTCCTGCGAGAGGGGAGAGCATGGTGCGCTCCCTAGCGTTTCAAATCTCTGCTAAGCCTGCATCTTGGGCTGGGTGCAGGAACACACATGGGAGCAGCAGGGTCCCAGAGACTTACTGGTTGGTGGGAGAAGACGACCTTGGAAATGAGAGTGAGCTGCCTGTGGCTCATGGGCTTCCTGCCAGGGCAGCTTGCAGGAGGCGTTGCACCTGCAGGGCTGCCCCTCAGCTCCCCAGCTTGAGCTGCTCCCCAGGATTCTGGACTCAGCTGTTTCGGCAAATGCTCCGGACATCTCAGCCTCATCATGTCCAGAAACGAACTGCAGATCGTTGCTCCACACGTGCTCTACCCTGGTCTTCTCATCTCTGTTCTCACTGCTCAGACAGAACTCAGCAACATCGCTCTGACAGCAGATTGTGTCTGCTCTTCAAACCCTGTTCAGAACCGCCTCCCACTGCCACCTTGATGTCAGGCAGTCCCTGCTCCTCCTACTCCCCAGCCTGTTTTCCACCCAGTGACCGGACACAGCTCTGCCAAGACCCCTCCACATCAGGTTCATCTCAGAGTCAAAGCAGATTTGTCTCCACACTCACAGATGCTGGTACCGTGCTGTCCCACCTGCACCCCCCACCGTGTGGTCCTCACCCGTCCTCCCCCGCCTGCAGCCTTTGCTCCAGCTCTGTCAGCCCCTCCTTCCCACTGAGGCCTGCCCTGGCCCCTGCAAACAACAGCCCCTCATTTCTCTCCCCTGACTTCTCTTTCCTCATAGAGGAAATCACATGTCACTGTTTGTATTAGTCTGTTCTCATGCTGATATAAGGACATACCCAAGACTGGGTAATTTTAGAGTCAAGTGTTTATAAAGGAAAGAGGTTTAATTGACTCACAGTTCCACAGGTCTGAGGAGGCCTCAGGAAACTTACAGTCATGGTGGAAGGGGAAGCAAACATGTCCTTCTTCAGAAGATGGCAGGAAGGAGAAGTCCCAAGCAAAAGGGGGAAAAGCCTCTTATAAGACCATCAGATCTCGTGAGAACTCACTAACTATCAGGAAAACAGGAGCGTGGGGGTAACTACCCCCATGATTCAATTACCTTCCACCAGGTCCCTCCCACGACACGTGGAGATTATGGGAATTACAATTCAAGATGAGATTTGGGTGGGGACACAGGCAAACCATATCGCCGTATAACACACTAATTTGTTTATCCTGTGCCTCATTGAATGTAAACAGCCTGTAGGAAGGACGTCCGCTTCTTTGTCCACCCCATAAATGTCTGTTGAATGTTTAAGGATGATGGGACATCAGCAGGCAGAGGGAGGAAGGGCATTTTAGGAGCAAGAATTTGTTGGGAGAGTGTATGAAATAACAGGGCCTCTTCTAGAAACTAGTGTTGCCAGTAGAAACGTAGGAGCATTTCTCAAGTGATGACTTATGATCTGGGAAGCTGAGGGGTTTGCTCTGCAACCTCTGGTTCGGGGCCGCTTGTTTGTGTTTCTTAATGGAGAATAACTTTTGAAAGAAAAAATGTTGAAATCCGATTAACTTTTTTTTTCAAACAAAAAGAGACACAGGAGGGTTCAATCCAGTTGGACCGATTCCCACTAATCCCATTTATCACTTTAAAAGATAGTAAAGAAGTTTGGGAGGTTTCTCAATCCATTCAAAATAGTTCTTGACTTTATAGATTAGAGTTTGTGAAAATTATTTCTCGTCCTTCTTGCTTGATTGAGACTAAGACAACGGACCATCCCGTGGTGTGAAACCTGAGGACTTTGCTCAAGTTTTAATGTGGGTTCATGCTTCAAGGAGCTGGTTTTTCAGAAACTTCGGTTTGAGCCTTTTTACAATGTGCACAAAGAATCTGTCGCTGTAACTGTCAGGGTGCCAGTGTCTCTGGGCGACGCGCATTGCTGTGTTTTTTCACTGCTTGGTGAGCAGAGATAAAGGGGGCAGCGGGACCAGGCCTACCAGCCATCTGCACTGCCCACACAAACCGCAGGGCCGAATCCGGAGTGGCCCGAGGGCCACACAGCCCTGCCGAGTGTGCGGATGCTTCTGTGACCTTGTGAAGGTGATAGAAAAAGGCTGCTTGAAAAGCTGTCTAAGACACTTTGAGTAAGTAGTTACTTTTGAGAAACAGGGCCTGCTTGGAATGTGTACTTGGTGGGATTCTATTGTTCGGAACACTTCTTTCTTCTGAGATCCCCGACGGCTGTGGTGGGTGGCACAGGCAGGCCCTTCCTCTCCTAGTTAGGTCCTGGCAGCTCTGAGGCAGTGGTTTACACAACCAAGGCGAAACGCGTCTAGGATCCACCCGATTCCTCCCCTCATTGATATTCAGGAGGCAGCTCTCCTTCCCCTGCCTTCAGTGCAAGTTTGCAGAGCTTTTGTTTCATCTGTGAATAGTTCTTGCTGGTAGTCCCTCGCCCGGAGACCAGTGCTCCCAGCAGCCGTGGCCGGGAGGTAAGTGCTCGGACATTAAGCCGATAAGTAGAGGCGTATTTTGCAATCTCTTGTTTAGCTACCAATCGGAGCAGTTTAATGTGCTGAGTCCTCGGAGTCAGGGGTCATGGACAAAGCTGCCGAGGGAGGCTGTCAGGTATTGTATCTGGAGTGTCCGGATGGATCGATGACGTTTTTAAAGCCTAGAATCTTACCCTGAATCCAGACCATTCAGGTCTGATATTTTGAGAGTCAAGTGCTCATTTTCCTCTTCAAGTTTATAGCACTTCAGTATGAACAATATTTCTTATGTTAAAAAATATTTATTGGAAACAACTTATTGAAGCTTTTTCAGAGTGGCCAAAACCAGTGATAATTTTATTCCAGATAAAGAACTGGTGACAGGTGGCTGTACACTCAGCACAGCAGTGGTGTCCCTGAGTGCCATGACCCAGGAGCCATTCAGAGAGGAGCTGGCCTATGACCGGATGCCCACGTTGGAGCGGGGCCGGCAAGACCCCACCAGCTACGCCCCGGATGTGAAGCCAAATGACCTGCAGCTGTCGAAGAGACTGCCCCCCTGCTTCAGCCACAAGATGTGGGTCTTCTCCGTGTTGATGGGGGTGAGTACCTCCACGCCAAGACCTTGGAGTGCCACAAGCCCCTGGTCCCTCCGGTGATGGACCGCAGCACCCTGGAGCCCCAGATGGACAGAAAGAGCAGCTCTCAGGCTCACCCTGCTGCTGCAGAACTCTTGGATGCTGATGAGCTTGTTTTGCTTGTGTTTTCAGAGTTATTTTTATTAATTTATGGGTGTCTGTTGTGCCAGCTGCGAGCTGCTCCAGGCTGCAGCTGAGTCCCACTAGGCCACGGACAGTCCCAGGGCCATGCATGGGCCCAGGGAGCTTCCATGACCCTCAGCTCTGGGGCCGAGGGTCCTCTGAGGGATCACCTGTAAAGGTGGGAGGAGGCACCTCAGGTTCTCAGGTCAGGCCTAACCAAGAGAGCCTGGGGGACCTCCTCCTGGGTGGGACAGGGCAGGGGCAGGGGGAGGGTGGCTGGGAGGAGGTGGTGGATGAGGGAGCAGGCCTGGGGCAGATGGGCAGTGCCAGATGTCTGAGGGAGTTCCCTGGGGTCCTGGTCATTACCCGCATAGCCGTGGGCACAGAGATGACTGGAGGAGCCACTTTGGCCTGAGTGTGCACAGAGCCAGGCCACAGGACAGGCTTCTCTGCAGGGACCCCAGGCTCCGTACAGCCTCTGCTGAGAATGAGATCCAGGCCTCGATCTCTCCCCTCCCTGCGCCCCAGCCTCTGCCAGTTGCCCCTGTAGCACCCACAGTGGTCCTGCCCACCTCTTATGCCCTGAGCATGCCCATCAAGACAGGCATACCCCTTGGAGCTGGGGACAGAGGCAGCTCCCAAGTGCTGGTGGCCATCTCCGGCTCTGCCCGCTTCAGCCTAGTGCCCTAGACTTGGTGGCAGCCCTTCCCCTGCCCCAGCCGGGTCCCCTCTGCCCCAGACCGCGCTTCCTCTGCCAGGACCCCAGGTCCCAGTGACCTTTGACACTGACTCCCCCTCAGTCTCCCCCTAAGGTGCTGCTGCACATGTCAAAGAGAGCCCCCATCCCTGCCTCCTGCAGGGACCCCCTGGGCCTGGAGCCCCTGACTGGAGGAATCATTTTCCAGATCTGGAAATTAGGTTCTGCAGAGGGAGGGGGATAAGCAGTTGTTTTCCAGTCTCACGTCTGGATCTGGGGGTGGGATCCGGAAGACTCTGCACACCCAACATGTTGGGGAGGGGGCATTTTGGGGGAAGAGGTGCTGTCCCTTGCTCTAAATATTGGCATATCCCCCTTCTTCTCTCCTCCAAATAACAGTGTGAGGGTCCATGCTCCGACATGGCCGGGGGAGGCTGGTCCATTGCCTCGGCTGCGGTGTGACTGCAGCTGCCCTACAGGGAGGAGTCCAGGTTGGGCGGGCCCTGGGTGCAGGTGCGGTGGGTGCTGTGGGGTTTGGGTGAGTCACCAATGCACACAGACAGTGAAACGGAAGGTGAAGGGTCAGTGTCCAGACCAGGATGGGCGGTTGTAACCTGGGCTCCTGTTGCTGTCTTGCAGAGCTGCCTCCTCGTGACGTCGGGGTTTTCGCTGTACCTGGGGAACGTGTTCCCTGCCGAGATGGATTACTTGCGCTGTGCTGCAGGCTCGGTAAGCAGCTTCCTCTAGGCCTCTGCCGGTGCCTGAGCTCGCCGGCACGAGCTCGTTTCTTTGCTTTGAGATGTGTGGGTTTCTGTCACCTGTTTCTCATTAAAATCTCTTCATATGCACCCGGCACGGTGGCTCACACCTGTAATCCCGGCAATATGAAAGGCCGAGGGGGGCGGATCACTTGTGGTCAGCAGTTCAAGACTGGCCTGACCAACATGGAGAAACTCAGTCTCTACTAAAAATACAAAACTTAGCCTGGCATGGTGGTGGGTGCCTGTAATCCCAGCTACTCAGGAGGCTGAGACAGGAAAATGGCTTCAACCTGGGAGGCAGAGGTTGCAGTGAACTGAGATCGCACCACCTCACTCCAGCCTGGGTGACAAGAGTGAAACTCTATCTCAAAAAAAAAGACAAAAAACTCTTCATATGTCTTTAGTTTCATGTAGGATTCATCACCTTTGAAAATTACTGATGGAGCAGGTCTGAACCTGGGTCTGCAGATGCCTGTGCAAGGAATTACATGTTGATTCTGAGGCTACAGCTCTGTCCTACCAGAGCGCGCAGCATCTGCCCTCAGGGGACTGAGACCTGTGCCCCATACCCTCCCAAAGCTTTGTGCTGTGTTTCTAGAAACTTATCCACTGCCAAGGCCAGTGTGGGGACCCACTGATCCTCTGAGCAGGGGAGGAGAGATAACTGTTGATCCCTGGTCCTCTGTAAGCCCCGTGGCCATGGCCCCCCCGGCATCCCAGAGGCTAGAGCACAGTGCTGGCGGACCCCTGGGCTCTGGCCCACAAGCCACTGACCCTGTGTCCTCTCCGCTCCAGCTGGCCGGGAGCATTCCCCCTCCTCTCACTTCCCAACCGCTGCTGGGTCTCTGGCCCCTGCCCTTCCCGTAAGGCCCCTGTTGGTGACTGTCCCCAGCAGCACCCTCCAAATGTCTTAAAAACAAAGTGGACGCCCCGCCCACTGCTGTCCTGGGTTTCTGCTCTCTTAGAACAAAGCTCTTTGGAGCAGGTGACCCATCCCACTCTGCTGCTTTCTCTGGAAGCTTCTCCGTGGCCTTTGTCCTCACTGGGGGAACCACCTTTGTCCCAGTGGGCCGTGCCCCTTCAGCCTCAGCGGTGGCCAAAGACCAGTGCCTGCCCCTGCCCAGCTCTGGCCCTGCCCCTGGTCTTTCTTCTCCACCGTGGGCCCTTGCGGCACCTGAGTGGGTGCTGAGCTGAGCCTGGCTGTCCTGGCCCCAGCCCTGCCCCTCACTCAGGCCCCGACGGGGCTTCTCCTGCCTCCTCACCCAGCACTCCTGTGCTCAGCCCCTCAGACACCCCTGCCTGCATCCCCGCCTTAGAGCCCATGGTCCCATGGCTTCAGGAGCAAGGCCCACAGGCCTGGGCTGGCCTGACATCCCCACCTCCCTCCTCTGACATCCCCACCTCCCTCCCCTGACTTCCCCACCTCCCTCCCTGGCCCTGGACTCCTAGCCTTGGTGTGGCTCTGAGGGGACAAGAAGGCTGAGGGGCTCTGGGACTCCTTTCTGCTTCTCTCATACATAGATTCTTTCTCCTTCCTTTGCCCCTTTCTTTCTCTCTTTTTTTCTTTTTCTTTCTTTCTCCTTCGTTCCTTCCATCCCTCCCTCACTCCCTCTCTCTCTCTTTCTCTCTTTTTTCCTTCCTTCCTTCCTTCCTTCCTTCCTTCCTTCCTTCCTTCCTTCCTTCCTTCCTTCCTTCCTTCCTTCCTTCCTTCCTTCCTTCCTTCATGTGAACAGAGCCAGGCTGCAGGACAGGCCTCTCTGCAGGGACCCCAGGCTCCGTGCAGCCTGGGCTGACAAAAGCCTGGACTTCCTTTCTCTCTTTCTTTCTTTTTTTCCTTCCTTCTTTCAGGACAGAGTCTCGCTCTGTTGACCAGGTTGGAGTGCAGTGGTGCAGTCTCAGCTCACTGCAACCTCTGCCTCCAGGTTCAAGCGATTCTCCTGCTTCAGCCTCCTGAGTAGCTGGGATTACAGGCACACACCACCACGCCCAGCTTCACTATGTTAGCCAGGCTGGTCTTGGACTCCTGACCTCATGATCCATCCACCTCAGACCAACCTCTTCTTTCTTTCTTTTTTTTTGAGAAAAGTTCTTGCTCTATCACTGAGGCTGGAGTGCAGGGTGTAATCACAGCTCACTGCAACCTCGAACTCTTGGGCTCAAGAGATCCTTCCAGCTCGGCCTCCCGAGTAGTTGTGACTAGAGTTGGGAGCCACTGCTCCTGGCTGATACTTTTTCCTTTTTGGGTAATTTTCAGCAAAGACTAGGTTTTGGGCCTTTGTGAGTTACGCTCTGGACTTTAAATCTTCTTCAGCTAGAAGAGCCTTCATTAACAATATCTTTTAACACATGAGAAAAATAAACATTTCTTTCAGAATAAATTATTTGGAAGTACCTGGGGGTTGGGTGCAGTAGCTCATGCCTGTAATCCCAGGCTCACGCCTGTAATCTTGAGTTTGACTCTTCCCAGAGCTTTGGGAGCCAAGGTGAATGGATCGCTTGAGCCCCAAGTTCAAGAGCAGCCTGGGCAACAGAGTGAGACTCCATCTCAACCAGAAATTGCATCTAAGAAGTACCTGGGGGCCTTCTAGTCAAGTCAACCCACTGTGTTGTGTGGACTGGCAACATGGTTTTTCTAATATGATTGGAATCCTTCTGGAAGCACAAGTGTGAGGGTATTTCCCGGGCTCACAGGGTTCCCCTTTCTTTCCAGTGCATCCCCTCAGCAATTGTGAGCTTCACTGTCTCCAGGAGGAACGCCAACATGGTGAGTCCAGCCTGCGCCCAGCCTCTGCCAGGAAGAAAGACGGTGGGGCCGACAGACAGGGTACCAATGTGTGCCTGTGTGTGTGCGCACGCACGGCCGGATGGTGCGGGTTGCCCCCGGGACGGTGGAGCTCCTGCCCTGCCCAGCCTTTGCCGCATGGAGAGGAGACAGGGCTGAGCACGCTGGGCTCCCCACCATTGTGGCCTAACCATTATGATTTTTAGTTAAGGGCCTGAAGTGTGGTTTCTGGTTGCTTTTATTTCTTTCTTTATTCAAAGAAGGAAAACCCCTCCTGCCTTGTTTTTCAGATTCCCAACTTTCAGATATTGTTTGTTTCCACATTTGCTGTGACCACTACGTGTTTAATTTGGTTTGGATGCAAACTAGTCCTGAACCCATCCGCAATAAACGTGAGTTCGCGCGAGCTTCCCGCTGACCTGACACCCACAGCTCCACACCCCAATCCGTGAGTTGGAAATAGGTGACAGGTGTTACTCATAGCTCTTGAGTCTGACAAATGTTGAGAATTGTATTTATGCTTCTAAAGAAAAGAGTTGTCTTTACCGAGCCTTGTGATTCTACTGGTAAACAATGCCTTTTGCGATGGTCCTTAAAAATTGACGGTAACATAGTCCCATGTTTCATCCAATCTACGATGCAGATTGTAAAACAGTTGCTTTATGTATCTCTAAATAAAAATGGGAAAATGCAGGGGGAGGAGGTTTTGGGAGCCAAGATCACGCCAATGCACTCCAGCCTGGAAGACAGAGCAAGACGCTATCTCAAAAACAAACAAACAAATGAAAAATAAAAAAAGAGAGAAAATGTCATTTAAATTACGACGCCAAAAGAGAAAAATCTCAGCCGGGCACGTGTCTCACACCTGTGATCCCAGCACTTTGGGAGGCCGAGGTGGGCAGATCACCTGAGGTCAGGATTTTGAGACCAGTCTGACCAACGTGGAGAAACCTCGTCTCTACTAAAAATACAAAATTAGCTGGGCACGGTGGCACATGCCTGTAATCCCAGCTACTTGGGAGGCCGAGGCAGGAGAATTGCTTGAACCCAGGAGGCGGAGGTTGCAGTGAGTCAATATCACAGCATTGCACTCCAGCCTGGGCAACAAGAGTGAAACTCCGTCTCAAAAAAAAAAAAAAAATGTCAGACAGCTACATTGACTTTTTAAAATGTGTGGTTCTATGACTATTAACACATGTGTAAATTCATATCACTACAAGTAGAGTCTGGGCCCACAGTAGTTTCATTATCCTACAAAAAACTCTGTTTTCAGTGTTTGACAATTTTGCGTGAAGCTGCTATAAACATTCCTGTACAGGCTTTTGTGGGAACAAGGAACGTTTAGATTGGGGTCCGTAGACCAGAGCCCAAGGCCAAATCCAGTCCTGTTTATGTGCAGCCTTTGAACTAAGAGTGGTTTTAAAAACCAAAAGACCCATAAAACCCATGTGAGACAGAGATAGCATGTGGCCCAGAGTGCCTCCTAGCCAGCCCTGGACAGGAAAAGCGGGGCCCACGGCGGCCGAGAGCCCTGCGCAGCCTGCCTGAGGTGGCCCTGTGCACGCTGAGGTGAGGCAGCGTGAGAAAGGCGGCCCAGTGCTGAAGCATGTGCCCCTCGCCAGATCAACTTCAACCTCATCCTGCTGCTCCTGCTGGAGCTGCTCATGGCGGCCACAGTGATCATCTCTGCACGGTCCAGCGAGGAGTACTGCAAGAAGAAGAAGGTGGGTGCAGCTTCTGACCCTGAAGGGCAGGGGATGCAGGCGGCGTCCCAGGGTGTGCCACTCACGCCCCCACCGGCTGGGTGGGTCTCAGCATCACCCTTGGAGGGCTGATCTGAGCTGCTCTGAGGCAGTCCTAAGAGAGACCGGGGCCAGGAAGGGGTCTGGAGCAGGGTGAGGGGTTGGTGGCCACTGGCTGCAGGGAGGTGAGGACGGATGCTGCCCCCTCCCCCTCCACGTCCCCCTAAACCTGACTCGGTCAGGTGCTTGTCCTGAGGGGTATCACCAGGAGACACCACATCTGCTAAAAATACCTGTCAACGGGGATTGTGCAAATACCTGTGAACGCATTTCCATATGCTAGGACAGTGTGTGTGAATGCTTCCTAGAGCCCAAAGATCCACGGGCGACTCTGAGGTGGTCTTGTGTCTACACCGCAGGCTGACCTGGCCCATGGCCCCTGGCAGCCAGATGCTGCCCCTCAGCAGCAGTGCTGAGTCCCCATGCCTGTGCGCTGTGGGTGACAGTTCTGTGTCTTCCTAGGCCTCCATGGCTGACAGCGCCAACATTTTGGAAGAAGTGCCGTTTCCTGCTCGGGTCCTGAAATCTTATTCAGTAAGAAAAGCTTCTGTTTTCTTTCTCTTCTCTCTTACCTTGTCGGGAGTGGCTGAGGCCAGATTAAATGTTACGGTTCTATTCCGAGATGGCCAAGTTGGCTGTGTAGACTGTGCACAACCACGTGAGCCTCACCTGCAGAGACTCTAGTCTTCTGTTAGTATTGTTAGCAACTATGTACCTTATCGTGAAAGGTGCTGATGCTCTGTAATTTTTAGGGGGTAGTTGGTGATCACTGTAGGTGTGTCCATACTACTGTCCTGAGGAATTCTTTTTTGCTTTTTTTTGAAATGGAGTCTCACTCCGTCAACTGGGCTGGGGTGCAGCAGCGCAATCTTGGCTCACTGCCATATCCACCTCCTGGGTTCAAGAGATTCCCTGCCTCAGTCTCTCAAGTAGCTGGAATTACAGAAGCCCACCACCACTCCTGGCTAATTTTTGTATTTTTAGTACAGATGGGTTTCACCATTTTGGCCAGGCTGGTCTTGAACTCCTGACCTCAAGTGATCCACCCACCCAGACCTTCCAAAGTGCTAGGATTACAGGTGTGAACCACCAGGCCCGGCCTCTTTGTCCTTACTTTCAACTTTTCTTGCTTTATACCTTAGCATAGTTCCTATAAAGAGCCCGTAACTGTATTCTGCTCTTTATCTTATGTCATTCTCTCTCCTTAGCCTTTCAAATGTAGCCCATTTCCTTTGAGAGTTGTTGCTGATAAATGTGTATTTATTTTCACCACCTCTTTAGTTTTCTGTTTTCCCTATGCCCTCCCCCCACCCCCACTTCCCTGTCTTCTTTCGAATTGCTTGAGGCTCTGTCCTTCCTTTTCCCTCGAATTTTGAATGGGAAATTTTTCAGTATTCTTTAGCAGCTGTCCTTTGTATTGTAATACGCTCCTTGATAGACGTCACACGGTGTCTGTCCCACTTGCTCCCACCTTGGCCTTGTTGTCTAGCTTGTGAGATTTAGTGACATTTAGCTTTTTTCCTCCAACAATGGGATGGCCCCCTGTGCACCTGACTTACTCCGTGTTCATTTCCCAGTGCCTCTGTTATTTAGCATTTCATCATCCCTTGGGGTCCATTTCCATTCGGCCTCCCCTCCCCTCCCCTCCCCTCCCCTCCCCTCCCCTCCCCTCCCCTCCCCTCCCCTCCCTCCCCTCCCCTCCCCTCCCCTCCCTTCCCTCCCTCCCCTTCCTTCCTTCCTTCCTTCCTTCTCTTTCTTTCTTTCTTTCTTTTTCTTTCTTTCTTTCTTTTTCTTTCCTTTCTCTCTTGCTTTCTTTCTTTCAGATAGTCTTGCTGTGTCACCCAGGCTGGAGTGCAGTGGTGTGATTTCGGCTCACTGCAATCTCCACCTCTCAGGATTACAGGCATGAGCCACCACGCCCTGCCCCATTCTGCATCATTCTTTAGAAGGTGGTTTTCAATAGGCTTCTCCAGTTTGGGCTGGGTCTCTGCATTCCTAAGTGACAGTTCGCCTGGAGAGAAGTCCAGGTTGACAGTTCTCCCTGGCACATATGCAGCCCGTCTCTCCACCGTCTGCAGAGGCCGAGATGCCGTCCTTTGTGGGGGGTCTGTTTCCAGAGTTTTCTGCTTGGTGGCCATGGTCTCTGTCAGGTGGAAATTCAGCTTCTTTATTTATTTATTTATTTATTTTTTGAGGTGGAGTCTCACTCTGTTGCCCAGGCTGGAGTGCAGTGGCATGATCTGGGCTCACTGCAACCTCTGTCTCCCAAGTTCAAGCGATTGCCCAGTCTCTGCCTCCCAAGTAGCTGGGATTACAGGCGTGTGTCACCACACTGGGCTAATTTTTGTATGTTTAGTAGAGGCAGGGTTTCACCATGTTGGCCAGGCTGGTCTCAAACTCCTGAGCTCTTGATCCGTCCACCTCAGCTTCCCAAAGTGTTGGGATTACAGGTGTGAGCCGCCATGCCTGGCTAGGAATTCAGCTTTATTTGTTCATCTGGAGTTTTGTGCCTTCCAGATGTGAGGCCTGTATTTTTAGGGGCTGCCCAGGTCCCCTCTGGCCCCCACGCACCTGCTGGCCAGGCTTTCCCATTCCCATGTCCCCTCTGGCCCCCACGCACCTGCTGGCCAGGCCTCCTCGTGCCTGGCTTTCCTGCCGGTCACAGCTGGACCTGGCACATATGCAGCCCATCTCTCCACCGTCTGCAGAGGCCGAGGTGCCGTCCTTTGTGGGGGTTTTCTGCTTTAGTATAGTTCTTATAAAGAGCCCGTAACCGTATTCTGTTCTTTATCTTATGTCATTCTCTCTCTCAGCTGTGTCTGAGTCTCACAGCTGTTTTTCATGGGAGCAAGTTTTTGGGCATTTGTTTCTTTCCCAGCCCTCCCTGGGTCTGGTGGTGCTGGTTGCAGCCCTGATGGTGCAGGGTGGATGAGCCCACAGCCAGGGCTTAGGCCAGGAGGGTTCTTGGCTTCGTCCAGGAAAGAATTCAGGAGTGAGCTGGTGGTGACAGACGGCAGCTTGTATTGCAGTGGCAACAGAGGTGCTGCTCCTGGCAGAGCAGGGTTCCCCCATGGGCAGTACGCCCCCATGGGCAGGGATCCCTGATGGGCAGGGCTTCCCCAAGGGCAGGGGTTCCCCACAGGTAGGGCTCCTCAACAGGCAGGGCTCCTCCATGGTCAGGGATCCCCCACGGGCAGAGTTCTCCCATGGGCAGTGCTCCCCCACGGGCAGGGCTCTTCCACAGACAGGCCTCCCCGATAGGCAGGGCTCCTCCAAGGGCAGGGATCCCCCATAGGCAGGGCTCCCCATAGGCAGGGCTCCTCCACAGACAGGGCTCCCCATGGGCAGGGCTCCTCCACGGGCAGGGCTTCTCCACAGACAGGGCTCCCCAATGGACAGGGCTCCCCCATGGGCAGGGCTCCTTCACAGACAGGGCTCCCCAATGGACAGGGCTCCCCCACGGGCAGGGCTCCCCCACAGACAGGGCTCCCCAGTGGACAGGGCTCCTCCCTGGGCAGGGCTCCTCCATGGGCAGTGCACCCCGATGGGCAGGGCTCCCCTATGGGCAGTGCACCCCAAGCAGCAGCTCAGAGACGGCACTGCCTCCTACTTATACCCACTTGTAAGTATGTGCTAATTAAGGGACAGATTCTGCAGAAATTTCTGGAAGAGGAGTGGTAACATCCAGGTGGATGGATGGTCGCCATGGAAAGAGGTGGTGATTTCCAGTGTGGCACATGGCACTGATGGCGTGTCCTGTGGGAAGCTTCTCCTGCCCAGCCCTGTTTTCCTGAGCCTGCATGTGGTCCAGTGTCTCACTGTGGGGACAGGGAGGGGGATCTGAGGGTCTTGTTTTTCTGCCCTCACCACTGTCAGGTCAATACCCTCAGTTTCTGTAGACAAAAGCAGCTGTGGGGTAAATACCCCTTCAACTGTTTTACTCCAGGAAGGATGGGACGCGAAAAGCTGCAGCTGAGGGCAGAAGTGGGCTGGGCCAGGTGAGGCTGGGGGTCCATCCAGGTGGGCTCCTCCACTGTTAGATCTGGGGCCAGCCCACCGCACCCTGCTCCTGGGGTCTGTGTCTGCAGGGTGCATTCTGGGGACCTGGGGGTGTCTCCACTTCCTCCGGGCTGCCCCAGTGAGCCAATGCTGCTCATCCCGTCCAGGTGGTTGAGGTGATCGCTGGCATCTCTGCTGTCCTCGGGGGGATCATTGCTCTGAACGTGGATGACTCGGTCTCCGGTCCGCACCTCTCGGTGACGTTCTTTTGGATCCTAGTGGCGGTGAGTACCTCCTCTGGCCCGCCCGCCACTGCTCTGGGCCATGCCGCTCAGATCCCACGTGGCTGGGCCCTGAGCTCAGTCTTGGTGCACTCAGACAGGGAGGCACCAAGGAGGGTCCTTGCCAGCCCCAGTTCAGAAGAACTGGGGAGTTAAGGATTAGATGAGTCAAAATATTAACTGCTTTTATATTAGTTTGTATGATTATTTTATATTATTTTTCCTGAAAAAATACCAATTATTTTTATTATTCTAATTTTTTTTAACATGTGAATAGGGGCCATAAATTTTTATTATTGTTTTAATTTTCTTTTCTTTGAAATGGAGTCTTGCTCTGTCGCCCAGGCCTGAATGCAGTGTTGTGATCTCGACTCACTGCAACCTCCGCCTCCCAGCTTCAAGCAGTTCTCCTTCCTCAGCCTCCTGAGTAGCTGGGACTACAGGCGCGCACCACCACACCTGGCTCATTTTTTTTTTTTTTTTGTATTTTTAGTAGAGACAGGGTTTCACCATGTTGGCCAGGCTGGTCTCAAACTCTTAACCTTGTGGTCCACCCTCCTCAGCTTCCCAAAGTGCTGGGATTACAAGTGTGAGCCACTGCGCCCAACCTATTCTACATAACTTTCCAATATGTAATGCATTTATATTACAATATGTGTTTTACGCAATGCAGCATATTTCTATTGTTGCTTTACATTAAATGTTATCGTAGCAGATGTGTCACATGGCACCTGGCACATGCCACATGTACAATACACGGGCACTGTTTTTATTGTATTTATTTATTTATTTTTTTGAGATGGAATCTCACTCTGTCGCCCAGGCTGGAGTGAAGTGGTGTGATCTCACCTCACTATAACCTCTGCCCCTGAGGTTCAAGCAATTCTCCTGCCTCAGACTCCCGAGTAGCTGGGATTACAGGCATGGACCACCATGCCCAGCTAATTTTTTTGTATTTTTAGTAGAGGGGGTTTTGCCTGTTGGTTAGGCTGGTCTTGAACTCCTGACCTCAAGCGATCTGCCTGCTTTAGCATCCCAAAGTGCTGGGATTATAGGTGTGTTCCTTCAGAACAGTGAGTCTAGAGCAATCCCTCCACACCCCAGATCCCCTCCAGCCTATGTCACAACCCAGAGCCACCGCCCACCTGCCTCCAGATACAGACCCTGCGCAGTCCTCGGCAACTTGCTGAGTAGTGGCCTGCACACTGGTATTGACAGCCAGCCCCTGGTTTGTCCCATGTCAAGTGGGTTTCTACATTTTGCCCCTTTCTCTTATATACATGAGTGGTCATGGTGAGCACACGGCTTCAGCTACAGGCTCCTCCTGGGCTGTAGGGGGGCTCTTCCTGAAGCTACCGAGAAGGCCCACCCCTGCCTGGGAGCCATATGGCTGGGGCGGACACATCCCATTGGCGGCAGCTGTGGCTCAGCTCCCTGTGGGGGCGAGTGGGCTCAGAGTAATGTCCCTAGGGCACAAGTGCCCGACCTAGTGAACCACAGAGGACTCAGAGCAGGAAAGAGACCCAGGCAGGGTCGAGCTGGGATGGAGCCAAATCCCCAGAAGGGGCAGGACCAGGGCTGGCTACCAAGACATAGAACTCACGTGGGTGCCCACCCAGACAGGTCTGTTACAGAGAGAATGATGCCTGTGTGTGTGCACACCAAACCCCAGGCTCTGAAATGCAGGAATTACATCCAACCCCAGGTTCTGAAATGCAGGGGTTACATCCTGAAGCTGAGGGAGGACAGAGACCAAATGCCTCGGAAAAGTTGAGAATGAAGGCGCTCGCCCTATGCCCTTTCCTGTCCCTGCAGTCGGCCCTCACCACACGGCCCCTCCTGTCCTGCATACCCATCCTGCTCCAGGGGCCACTCTGCTCTCTCCATCTTCCCTGAGAGCCACCCCATGCCCATCAGGTGCTGGTTGGAGCTGTCTGTATCCTGCTCTGCCTCTCACTGGAGCTCCTGGCTGATGCAGCCCCCACCTTCAGGGGGATGAAGAGCATGGAGAGGATCCGTCCTCCCTCTCTTCCCTCTGCCCGTATTGTGTGGAACTAAAGCAGGCTCCTCACAATAAGTGGGAAAAGGGCATTTCTTGGTTATAAAAAGGAAGAGGTACCCATTCAACAGAGGAACCAGGAAGGGGCAGTCCACACCCTGGGGCACTGCAGAGTCTCCTCCGTGGCTCCCCAGGGTTCATTGTGAAGAAATCCTATCCTACACGAGGCCTAACTGCAGCTGACAGGCTGCACTCCCCAGAAGTGTCCAGGTAATGGAGGTGACAGAGGCTAAGGGACTTCTGGATTAACAGAGACCCACAGGGAGACTCTGAGTGCGATGGCTGACTGATTCCTGGATCAGGAACAAACAAACAAATAGCTCTAGAAAGAACATGGTCAGGGCTGGGCATGGTGGCTCAAGCCTGTAATCCCAGCACTTTGGGAGGCCAAGTTGGGCGGATCACCTGAGGTCAGGAGTTCCAGACCGGCCTGGCCAACAAGGTGAAACCCTGTCTCTACTAAAAATACAAAAATTAGCTGGGAGTGGTGGCAGACACCTGTAATACCAGCTACTCATGAGGCTTGAATCTAGGAGGTAGAGGTTGCAGTGAGCCAAGACTGCGCCACTGCACACCAGCCTGGATGACAAGCCAGACTCCATTTCAAAAAAAGAAAAGAACAAAAAGTAAAAGAACATGACGAGGACAATCGGCAGAATCTGGGCATGGGTGGATCAGACCCATGTGCAGTCTCTCGGGTGTGGCGCCGCTTTGTGCGTGTGCCCCGAGTTCAGCCAGCACACTCAGGTGTTCAGGTGTCAGGCAGTCTGGGAGAGCTGGAGAGAGCACAGACGTTGAGTGTAGGACTGGTGACTTTGGGGCCTCTGACACTCACTGCACTGCTCTTGCAGCTTTTCTACAGGCTTAAAATTTTAAACCAATGGTTGAGGAACAAAGAGCACACAAAGCCTCTGAGAGGCCACCCCTGCTTCCCTGCGGACCCATTCCTGCCCCAGCTGTACCCTTGGGGACTGACCCCCCAAGCTCTGCACCAGCCAGGCAGCCTGGATGGAAGGGTAACTTGTGGGAGAGCACATGTTTGGAATTTGACTTCTTGGACTATTTCCTCCAGAATCTTTCCTTTTTCCTTTCTTTTAGTGCTTTCCAAGTGCCATTGCCAGTCATGTGACAGCAGAGTGTCCTAGCAAGTGTCTGGTAGGTGAAGTCCTAACCTCTGAGTGCCAGAGACCCACTGAGCGGGGCCAGGGCCTGGCCCAGCCCTCCCTCGGGGCCGTGTAACCAGGCTCCAGCCTGAGACTGAAGTGACCCAGCTGCAGGATGGGCTGAGGAGGGCAGGGGCTGTGGCGGACATAGGCTGTCCACCTCCAGCCCAGTGGGGACTGTTCCCAGGGACAGGCCGACGTGAACAAAGCAGTGTAGACACTGGGAGTGGTCTCTGTGCCCAAGCCACAGAGGGAGACCAGTACCTAAGCGTCGTCTGTGCCTTCTCAGGCTGGCCCATTGTTAATGACTGCTGCCAAAATGTGGGGCCTGTGTGTTCTGCAAGGTGACTGCTGCACTTGGTATGAGTGAAGGTTATTTCTGAGACTTGATGGGTCGAATGGAAAAGTTTGGGATGTGTTCAAAGGACAGACTTTAGAGCAGTGAGGGAGGTGACCCATGCGGAAGGGCTACTTTTTCAACAGTGAAGAATTGTAGGTAAATGCTTTTTGTTTCTTGGTTTTGTTTGAGACAGAGTCTTGCTCTGATGCCCAGGCTGGAGTGCAGTGATGGGATCTTGGCTCATTGCAACCTCTGCCTCCCAGGTTCAAGCAATTCTCTTGCCTCAGCCTCCCAAGTAGCTGGGACTACAGGCATGAACCACCACGCCTTGCTAGTTTTTGTATTTTTAGTAGAGATAGAGTTTCACCATGTTGGCTAGGCTAGTCTTGAACTCCTGACCTCAGGTGATCCACCTGCCTTGGCCTCCCAAAGTGGTTGGATTACAGGCATAAGCCACTGCGCCTGGATGATAAATATTTAAAAACTCGTGGCATTTTGCTTTGACTGAAAAGGCAGGCCAGATGCAGTGGCTCACGCCTGTAATCTCAGCTACTTGGGAGGCTGAGGCAGGAGAATCGCTTGAACCCAGGAGGCAGAGGTTGCAGTGAGCCAAGATCGTACCATTACACTCCAGCCTGGACAACAAGAGCGAAATTCCGTCTAAAATAAAATAGAAAGAAAAGAAGAAAAGGCAGAGGTTTCAGAGGGAGCCACGCAGGGAACCAGCTTGGAACTAAGCCCGGAAGTGCCCGGCCATGCCCCCCTGAGCCCTGGCCACGCCCCTGCGCCTGGCTCCCAGGTTCCAGACCACGCCCCCTGAGCCATAGCCACGCCCCTGTCCTGGGCTCCCAGGCTCCCGGCCACGCCTCCTGTCCTGGGCTCCCACGCTCTGGCCCCACCCCCAAGCCCTGTCCACTCCCCCCTGTCGTGGGCTCCCAGGCTCCGGCCACGCCCCACTGAGTCCTGGCCACGCCCCCTGTGCGCTCCTTTTCCAGGTGGAAGTGCTGATTGCCATAAGCAGCCTCACATCTCCGCTGCTGTTCACAGCCTCTGGATATCTGTCGTTCAGCGTCATGAGAATCGTGGAGATGTTTAAAGATTACCCGCCAGCCATAAAAGTGAGTTGTATTTTATTTCAGAGCCCTCTACACATGCGGTGCCCTGGCCTGGCCCTTGCTGGCTTTGCAAAGGACTCTGGGAGCGACCGCTTCAGGGGCAGCTCCAGGCGGGGCCTCCTCTGCTGTTCCCGGGCAGTGGTGACGTCGTTCCTGCCGCCAGCCTGGCCCCAGGGCCTCGGGGCCTCAATTCTGACCTGGATCTGAGGCCACCACCTGCTTCACAGGGATCTGGGACCCTCTATGTCCCCTCAGCTCATTTCAGAAACTGTCCTGAGTTTATGAGACACACTTTTTGGATTTGCATCAAAACTGCATTGAGTTCATGGGTGAATTTCAGGAGAATTCAAAGTCCCATGACTTTGAGCTGGCCCATTATGAACTTATCTCCAGCAGGACTTATAAGGCTTAGGCATGTGTGGCCAGATGTATTTCTTAGATACCTGGTGTTTTTTTTCCCCCTATATTAGTGGTATTGCCACCCAAATTGTTAGAAGACCTGTACTCAAGCGGTTTCTCAGGTTAACATGTGTGTACTGATGGGGATGGAATCACTGCCTGATTGATGGATGGATGGACTCACTGCCTTGGGGATGGATAGAGTTACTGTCTGATGGGGGATGGAGTCACTGCCTGGGTATCCGGTTTTGGAAGTATCTGAAAGTGTTAGTCTTTGACCGAGGAGGCTTCACTTTTTTTTTTTTTTTTTTTTTTTTTTTTTTTTGAGACCGAGGCTTGCTCTGTCGTCCAGGCTGGAGTGCAGTGGCGCTATCTCGGCTCACTGCAATCTCCACCTGCAACCTCTGCCTGCCATTTCAAGTGATTCTTCTGCCTCAGCCTTCTGAGTAGCTGGAACTACAGATGCACCCCAGCACACCTGGCTAATTTTTTGTAATTTTAGTAGAGATGAGGTTTCACCATGTTAGCCAGGATGGTCTCAATCTCCTGACCTCGTTATCCGCCCGCCTCGGCCTCCCAAAGTGCCTTCACTCTTAAGAACTTCAGCATTCCTAAAGAACAGCCTCCCACACATCCACAATGCCACTGTCATACCTAAGTGGGCTAAAGTGATTTCAGGGTATCTCTTCACATCCAGTTTCCGTAAAGTGACGTACCCTCAGAAGATGCTTCCATGAGGAGGTTTCAGGGCAGGGTGCCGTGGGTACTGTGCCTTGGCTCCAGTGTCCCTTCCGTCTCTTCCATCCAGGTGGCACCCACTCTCCCTGTGACACTGACTCTTTGCAGTCCAGGCTCATTGTCGGGCAGGTGGTCCTACCTGTGGCCCTGTTCCCACCCTGTAGCAGCTGCAAGTGCCCCTGGGAGCTCAGTTCCCTCTGCAGCCATAAGGGATCCTTGGCCTCAGGCCCTGGCACTGCACAGACACTTGTTTTCACCACATGTGTGCCCTGTGGGTTAGCATGGATGGCACGGCCTTGCCTGAATTGTTTGTTTCACATGGCGGGTGAAGAGAAGGTTGTGTGGGATCTCCCACTCCTCCTTGGCTTGCAGACTGGCTCGCTGCAGAGAGAGCAGCCCTCCTTTTCTCTGAGCAGCCGGAGGACTCATGGGCTTCTCGTGATTTTTAGTGTTGCAACTCTCACTCTTGATACTCAGGTTGGCCCAGATATGGCTAGAAATAGCCCCTTCCAGCGTGGCGTCTTCCTGTTATGGCCACCACATTCCCTGGCTGACTCTGAAGATGGCACATGTCTGCCATGTCCTGTGCCTGCCCCAGAACAGCTCTGGTCCCTTTGGCTAGGAAAGGCACGTGGAGTCAAGATCTGGGCCTCCGTGTCCTCTGTCCTTCCATGGTGCCACTGCTTCAGAGCCCTTTCGTGGACACAGCTGGGAAATACATGTATTTTCAAAGATCATGCATTTATATTGTTATTTCCAATTCAAATTTAACATTTAGCCTTTTTTCTTTTTCTCTTTTTTTTTTGAGATGGAGTCTCACTCTGTCTCCCAGGCTGGAGTGCAGTGGCACAATCTCTGCTCACTGAAACCTCCGCCTCCTGGGTTCAAGCGATTCTCTTGCCTCAGCCTCCTGAGTAGCTGAGATTACAGGCACGTGCCACCACACCTGGCTAATTATTTTTTTTTTTTTTTGTATTTTTAGTAGATATGGGGTGTTGCCATGTTGGCCAGGCTGGTTTTCAACTCCTGACCTTGTGATCTGCCCACCTTGGCCTCCCACAGTGCTGGAATTACAGGCGTGAGCCACCATGCCTGGCCTAATTTTTGTATTTTTAGTAAAGACAGGGTTTCACTATGTTGGTCAGGCTGGTCTCGGACTCTTGACCTTGTGACCTGCCCGCCTCGGCCTTCCACAGTGCTGGGGTTACAGGCATGTCCCCCCTGCCCGGCCTGGGTTTTTTTCTTGACTGCTCTTATGCTTGCTTCCCCTGCCACACACACTCTAAATATTTTGTTTCCTGTGACATGTAATATATCTGCTACTTCATTTTATCTTACAATATGCATGTAACTGTTCATGATTACAAAAGACAAGATTACCACCCCGGGCCATCTCCTGAATGAGCCTGAGGCCTCCCTTTCACCGTCAGCATGCGTTCTGCTAAGGGAGGGTGGCCACATGCCAATGGAGTAGGCCCCTTTTTGTGTTGGGTGGTCCTGTGGATCTGATGCTCAGTTATGTTTAATGGTCTCTGGTTGTATTCTGCTTGAGGGCTTGGTGCTTTTTTTCTTTTTAAAATAGTATTTTTTGAATATATAAAATATGTGGTTCAAAAGCCAAACTATATAAAAGCTGTGCTCAGAGAAGCTGTGGTCTCATCCCTGACTGACCTGCTCCTTTTGCAGGCAACCATACGATTCTTTTCTTTCCTTTCTTACAAAAGAGCTTGCACACTGTAATCACTATTCTGTATCTCGCTTTTTTTTTTTTTAAAGACAGTCTCACTCTGTCACCTAGGCTGGAGTGCAGTGGCATAATCTTGGCTCACTGCAGCCTCTGCCTCCTGGGTTCAAGTAATTCTCCTGCCTCAGCCTCCGGAGCAGCTTGGTTATAGGTGTGCACTACCATGCTCGGCTAATCTTTGTATTTTTAGTAGAGACAGGGCCTCATTATGTTGGTCAGGCCAGTCTCGAACTCCTGACCTGAAGTGATCCGCCTTCCTCAGCCTCCCAGAGTGCTGGGATTACAGGTGTGAGTCACTGTGCCCAACCATGTACCTTGCTTTGTAATTATTTATTTACTTATTGTATTTTTCAGAGATAGGTTCTCCCTCTGTCGCCCAGACTGGTGTTAAACTCCTGTGCTCTAGCGATCTGCCCACCTTGGTCTCCCAAAGTGCAGGGATGAGAGGCTCCTGTCACTGTGGCCAGCCCCTTGCTTGCTTTTTTAAACTTAATAATTTATCCTGGCATTCCCTTGATACCCAAGGAGATCAGAGCTCCTCCAAATTCCTTCATCGCTCTTGCATGTAGGTAGCCCGGTCACCCAGCCAGTCCCCAGGGATGGAAACTGAGTTATTTCCCACCATCTGCTACTTAAATGACTCCTCTGTGAACAACCTGCAGGCAGCTTCCTTTTGAATCTGTGCAGCGAATCTTTACGACATCCAGCTAGGAGAGAGACTGCTGGGCAGAGGGTAGGTGCAGCTATAACACTGTTAAATCCCAATAAACTCCTCAATGGAGGCCGTCCACCTTCCCTCCTGCCAATGGCATGAGGGTGCTCACTTCTCCACAGCCCCACCAGAGGGTGTGATGCCAAGGTTTGGTGACAGAGGTGGGAGCACATCTGTCTCCATGTGGGTGACGATGAGGGCCTCTTAGAAAGCACGAGGGCATCTGCGTTGTTTTCTCAGTGGACTCTGCTCATGTCTTCTGCCCATTTTCCACTAACCTTGGTGCCTGGGAGACCAGCTCCATTTGTGATTGAGGACACAGACAGTGGTCTCAGCCTGGCAGCTGTTTCTCATTCTGCTTGTCGTGATTTTTGTTCTGTGAAAGCTTTTTTTAAATATAGTTAAATTGATATTTTCCTTAATGGCTCTGGACTTTTTTTTTTGAGACTAAAGAAAGCATGGTCTTTGCAACTGATGGTGTCTCAAGAACTGAAGAGCAAAGGCCACATGGGGCGCATGCCTCCGCCATCCTCCAGGGTAGACTCCAGTTGGAAACACAAGTACCAGACTTTCTAATAATGACTTAAAATCCAGGCCAGGAGCAGTGGGTCATGCCTGTAATCCCAGCACTTTGAGAGGCTGAAGCAGGTGGATCACCTGAGGTCAGGAGTTTGAGACCAGCCTGGCCAACATGGTGAAACTCCATCTCCACTAAAAATGCAAAAATTAGCTGGGTGTGGTGGTGCACACCTGTAATTCCAGCTACTGGGAAGACTGAGGCAGGAGAATCGCTTGAACCCGGGAGGTGGAGGTTGCAGTGAGCAGAGATCATGCCATTGCACTCCAGCCTGGGCAACAAGAGCAAAACTCCATCTCAAAAAAAAAAGTTTTATATCAACTTGAGAAGAGCTGTTCATTCTGTTTGTCTTATTTTTCCTAGCAGTGATACCAGATAGATGTTTGGCCCTTTTGTGTGTGAGCATTTGTTTTTCCTGGGCCAACACAGGAAAGCTGTCCACGGGTCACAGAGGGTTTTGGGTGCTCTGTGGTCACTCTCTGCCCTCTGCATCCTCGGCCGCTCCCTCCATCCTCTTCCCTGCTGAGCTCGCCTGGCTGCCTCCTGCCCCTTCCTTCCCAGCAGCTGGGGCTCAGGGGTGAAGCTGTTGGGGCCTGTGTCCCCATCCCCCTGGGACCGCTGCCCTCTCTCTCCTCTGCTCAGGGTCCTGCTGACCTGGAACAGGAAGCCACAGTGCTTCTGCCTCCTGAAGACAGTCTTGCTGGCTCTGGGACTGAGCCTTGCAGTGTTGGGGCAGGAGGGGTGGAGTGACTTGACCACCAGCAGCCAGCACTGGCCACAGGGCCTGGCTGTGGCTTGGTCACTTGCATTCCTGTCTGTCGAACACAAGCCAATGGCATGTAAAGCAGAATCGACCTCATTAATTGGGCTAGAATGATTATTATCAGGTTGTTGAAATAACAATGGTTTGAGTTACTGGGGCTCCCGATTTTGGCTCGGCTCTTTGAGAAGGCCACTTTGGTCTCCTGGGCTGGAGGGTGGCCAGGCCACCTGCTCACGCCTCCGCCTGCCTGCAGCCTTCCTATGATGTACTCCTGCTGCTGCTGCTGCTGGTGCTCCTGCTGCAGGCTGGCCTCAACACGGGCACCACCATCCAGTGTGTGCGCTTCAAGGTCAGCACAAGGCTGCAGGGTGCGTCCTGGGACACCCCGACCTGCCCACAGGAACGCCTGGCTGGGGAGGTGAGTGACCTGTCGGGGGGGCACACGGCAGAGGGTGGGGGTGAGTGACCCACAGGAGTGCCCAACTGGAGAGGTGAGTGGCCTGAGGGTTGGGGTGCTCTGGGGAGGTGAGTGGCCCACAGGTAAGTTACCTGTGGCAGGGGTACCTATCCTGGTGAGGGCCACACAGCATGACCCTCGAAGACTCATCATGCCGCGTTGTATTTTTAAAAACAGCCCAGAAAAACCCTGAAGAAATGTCTCTTTTTAATTTGAGACGGAGTGTCGCTCTGTGCAGTGGCACGATTTTGGCTCACTGCAACCTCTGCCTTTGGGTTCAAGTGAATCTCCTGCCTCAGCCTCCCAAGAAGCTGGGATTACAGGCATGTGCCACCAAGCCCAGCTAATTTTTGTGTTTTCAGTAGAAACAGGGTTTTGCCATGTTGGTCAGGCTGGTCTCGAACTCCTGACCTCGGGTGGTCTGCCAGCCTCGGCCTCCCACAGCGCTGGGATTACTGGTGTGAGCCACCTTGCCAGGCCATAAAATGTCTTTTAACAGGACAAACAAACACCAAGCTTAGGTAAAGCCAGACCCATCCCTGGGAAATGTCCTGGACCTAAGGCTTTCAGATTTGCTCTTAGAGACACAGAGAGGACTTTGTGGGGACTCCCACAAGTCACTGAAGCTTCCTTCCCTGGCCTCTGGTGGGGACACCGATTCTGCAGGGAAGGCAGTGCCCACCCAGCCTGGCATCTGGGGCTCCATAAAGCTGGGGTGTCAACAACTTCTGGCTGTCACCACCTGAATGCTGTTCCCCTGGGCCCTGCCTACTGTCCCGCTACCCCCAAGTCCTGATGCCCCACACCTGAAAGGCAGAGGCTCAGCATCTTCTCCCTGAGCTACGGGGCCTGGCGGTGCTCTCCCAGGCAAACCTGCCCACAGACCCTCAGGTGCAGTGACCTCGAGGACTGTCAGCTTGCTGCCCAAGCACCCGGGTGGCCACTCAGTGGACTCTGGGTCTGGCCCACTTCCAGGCCACCCTGGGTGGACCAGCCGCTGCTCTTGCCCCACGCACCCTGCCTTCCTGGGCTCGGCACACCACCGGCCGCAGAGCCTCGGTGCAGAGCCTCCAATGCCAGCTAAGTCCTGGAGGACGCCCTTGGACACCCTCTTGCCCTTGGCTCATTTCTCAGCCGACCCTTCGCTCCCACCCTCCACCCTCCACACTGCTGTTCCCTTCACCCACCTCCTTGGTGCAGCTGCTTTGCTGCCATTTTTCCTGGCTGTGCTCAGTCTCCCCACTGGCGTGGCAGTCCCTGGGCCTGAAATGAGACTCCATCTGGGTTTCTTTCCTAACCAGCAAGGCCCAGAGTCGGACGCATGAGGTGCCCCCCCCAGATCCCAGAATTGCTGGTCCCAGGGCCTCAGGGTGGGCTGCCAGGGCTCAGGGTGGGCAGCTGAGGCTGGCACTGTCCTCCTTGTGCCTGGAGGCATCTGGTCACCTCTGCCTCTAGTGTCTTCTTCCTCGGCCATCAGGCACATGCCCACCGTTGGGCGGCCTCCCAGCCCCCCAGAGCCAGGGCAAGGGTCCGAGTGAAGGGCTGAGCTACCCCAGGCTCCATAGAGACTACGTGTGCGGGGACACAGGCGTTCCCTGGGCAGCGAGGGAGTAAAGGCCTTTATCTCTTTACCTAGAGACCCGGGAGTTATTTCCGCCCCTTCCTTCATATTCAAAGAAAACTTCTGAAGTTAAGAGAATGCTCGCTGCTGCCCCCTGCTGTGGCCGAGGGGCATGTCGGCCTTCCCGCGGCACAGGTGGCCCTTGTGAAGTAACACCTCTTCTGTCTCTGCCTTGTAGCAGGTGTCCAGGAGCCCCCTGAAGGAGTTTGACAAGGAGAAGGCCTGGAGAGCCGTCGTGGTGCAAATGGCCCAGTGACCCCCAGATAGGGAAACTGGGCAGCAGCGCCCAGCCTGGCCCCGAGCGCAGAACTGCAGAGCCCCTAATTGCCCTGAACTGCTGCTTCTAACACCTCCCTTTCCCTTGTGTGAGGGCAGACCAGGCTGCAGGTGGGGTCTTCAACTCCTAGGGTAGTTTAATTTTAAAATAGGCCAATGTTGGCTATTCTGTGCCTCAGATCAGTCAGTTCCAAACGGCTCCCATGTCCTAATAGCAGGAGCATGGCTGCAGCTTCCCAGGCTGAGGAAGGGCCCTGGCTCAGCCTCTGAGAGTCCCCCTGAGCAGGCCCCAGCCCACCTCTCTTGTAGCTTGGGCTGGAGTGGACTCTCCCACTGTGGTCTCTGACTCTCCGGCCCACTCTGACCCGCTTCCTCCCTCCACTCTTAGTCTATCCCAGGCGCTCAGTCAGCCTGGTGGGACCTTACCCACTTCCCTGCAAGGTGCACCTGCCTTAGGCTCAGCCTGCCCAGCAGCGCTTCCTGGACAGTGAGAGCAAGGCTGGGCACCGCTGTCCTGGCTGGAGAGCCTCGGGGGCCGCTCCTCCAGAGCCCAGGTGCAAGTGACACAGGCTGCCTTCGCTCTCCCAGGTGAAATCCACACCGGCTTGCCCGCTGTCATGGGCACCTGATGCAGACCCCACCCCGTCTGCAGGACACCCCTGCCTCCGTCAGCTCCGAGGCCAGGGGCCAGGTGGGGTCAGCTCCTGGGAATGGGGTGGGAGCTGCAGGGACAGCACGGGGAGAGCTGATGTCTTCTTGGGGGCAGACGAGAGAGTTTCAGAGCCAGAATGAGGCACCTGGGGAGTTTTTTACTGGCTCACACTTTCTTATCTTAGAGAGCTTAACAAATCCGGACAGATGGGTTTAAAAGAACTGTCTCTTTCAATCTACATTTTTGTTTAATACGCTTGAGCAATAAACGCCGACTTGTAGACGTGGCTGTGGCTATTCAATGTTGGGTCTTGGCAGGGTCAGCTCACCCAAGGTCTGAAGGCATCGAGACTGACAGGTAGGAGGGGCGGGTGGAGACAGGCTGATTTGTGTAACCCCTAGAGGCCAGTACTGGAGGGCTGGTGGGAGCCTAGTGGCTTTGCTGGGGGAAGAGGGAGGCAGCTGGAAAGAAACCGCACCAGCCAGGGGAAGTGCTACTCACCCCCACTTCAATCCCCATCAGCCCCTTCAGAGTCTGGCCAGAGCCTCCCTTTTGGGGTATCTTGGGAAGGTAAATGCAAAATAAAGTTGATTTAAAACCAAATAAATCAGCTCCCTCAACTTTAGGCAAAAAATAAACAACAAAGATGACATCTAGGTTTTGGAAAGGTCCCATGAGTCAGGGTCCTGATAGGGATATGTGTCTTTCCTATCCCCACTCCAAGGTGCCAGATCAGACCCAAGCTGATGGGGTGGTGATCTGATCTGCGAGGCCAAGGACACAGGCTGTGTGGACCTAGGTGGATTCAGAACGCCCGGGGTAGGCAGCTGTGTGGGACCCCACGAGTGGCTCTACAGATACCAAAGCCTCCCAGGTTCCGCCACGGGAGGGGGGCTGCTGCGGTCACCCCATCGCCCCCAACCACCAGGACCCCCGGCACGCAGCCCCAGAGAAGCCCAGAGCCCGCTGCATCCTCACCCGCCCCTCCAGCCTCGCGTGGGGGCCCGGCCCAGGGAGAGAGGGCGGCGTGAGAGCCTCGAGGAAGGGCGGGAACGCCCGGCAAGGCTCGGGGGCTGAGAGGGAGGGGCAGGGTTTGACCCGCGGGTCTTTGTGACATGGTGGGGGATTGAGTGTGACGCCCACAGCGGGGTGCGGGGCCGCAGCATATAACTTTGGGCTACAGCCAGGCCCTCCCCAGTAGGCACCATGGCGCGCCCCAGGCAGCCGCGCCTGCTCCAACAGCTGCCTGGGACCTGGACTGGGAATCCAACGCCGCCGACTGCTGCCCATCAGGTCCCGAGGCCCCCGCGCGCCGCCGCCCCCCGCGCCCCTCGCGTCCCTCGCGTCCCCCGCCGTCCGTGTAGCCCCACGCCCCGAGCCAGCCGCCGGCGTCCGCGGCGTGCACAATGCTAGGGGCCGCCCCAGCACGTTGCTCTGGGCAACCGCAGGACGCTGGGCGGCGCCAATGCGGACGGGGGCGCGATGGGAGCCACTGACCCAGTCCCCGGTGAGCACGACACCCCCACCTCGGAACCTCAGACCCGCCCCCCACCCGCGAACTCCAGGCCTAACCCCGCCCTGGGCCTCCGAATTCTAGACCCCAGAATTCCTAGGAATCCCAGGAACCCAAGGACACCTGCGCAGCTCTACCCACCCCCGCCCTCCTCGAAAGCTCAGAATTGTTCTCCCCACCTTCCCCCATCTTCTGGAAACTCCACAGCTGTCCACTCCCCTCTGCCTTCAGAACCCACCTCTCCTCATTAACCCAGACCTGCCCCCCAACTCAAACTTTCCCCTCAACCTAGACCTGATCCCCAATTGAGACCTGATGCCCCCAGCCCAGACATGACCCCCTAACCCAGACTTGCCTCACAACCAAGACATGACCCCTCAACCCAGACGGGACACCAAACCAGTCGTGACCCCAAACCCAGTCCTGACCCCCAATCCCAGACCTGACCCCCAACCTAGACCTGATACCCCTAGACCGGAGCCCCCAATCCAGACCTGAGCTCCAACCCAGACCTGATCTCCCAACCCAGACCTGCCACTCAACCCAGACCTGCTCCCCAACCCAGACCTGGCCCTAATTCAAACCTGACCCCCAAGCCTCAGACCTGACCCCAAAAACAGACCTGACTCCCCAGCCAGACCTAATGCCCAACACAAACCTCAACCCCAACCCCAACCCCAGACCTGATCCCCAACCCTAGGCCCAATCCCCAACCCAATACCTGACCCCCAGCCTGGACCTGAACCTCCAACCCCAGACCTGACCCCCAACCTGGATGTGACCCCCCCCAATGCCAGACCTGACCCCCAACGCAGACCTGACCCCCAACATAGAATTTATTCCCAACCCCAAACTTAAGTCCTTAATCCAGACCTGATCCACAACCCCAGAGCTGACCCCAACCCCAGACCTGACCTCCGACCCCAGACCTGACCCCAACCCCAGACCTGACCCAATCCCAACCTCACCTCCAGCCTCAGACTTATCCACCAACCCAAACCTGACCCCCAACTCAGACTTGACCCCAACCCAGACCTGATCTCCAACCCAGACTTGCTCCCCAACTCAGACCTGATCCCCCAACTAACACCTGACCCCCAACCCCAACCTGACCCTCAGCTCAGGCCTCAGAACCCTCTCGCTCCTGGGGCCCTCCACACCCTCCCCGTTTCTCATAACCAGCACACCCTCTCCTCTAGGGGCTGGAGGAGGGAAGGGTGAGCTGTCTGAGGCCAGCATGGAGCCAGAAAGGAAGGGGTTCTGGTCGGCTTCTTTGGATGGAGATGGGAGCAAAGAAAATAGTGGGTATCCTGTGTGCCTGCATGCCAGCCACTCACCCAGAGCTGTGCGGCTCCGAGGCTCAGAGGCAGTTCTGGCTGCAGCCTGCTGCCAGGAAATCAGGGAATCAGGGGGCGGCCACATCACTGAGCTGCAGAACCAGGCGCCTTCTTTTGGATGGTCCAGGCGGAGGACCCCATGGGTGTTGGGGGTGCTGGGTCCTGCCTGCTGTGCCCCAATCCCACTGGCCAGCTTCCTGGGAAGCTGGGAAATTAAATGTGTGGGTGTGAAGGGCTCTCCTGGAGGGTCATGGGGGGCTGTGCACTTTCCCTTCTCTTCCTTCCTGCCCTTGCCCTCTTCTACTCCATAGACACAGCATGACCATTTAATGGTTATTTCTTGATGATATGCTAAGCGAGGGGTGGAATATTCATGCCTCCCCTCTTTAGACCACCTAGGGTAACTTCCTGACGTGGCCATGGCACTCATAACTCTCATGGCACTGGTGGGAGTGTAGCGGTGAGCATGACCAGAGGTCACTCTCGTGACCATCTTGGTTTTGGTGAGTTTTGGCCGGCTCCTTTACGGCACCCTGTTTTATCAGCAAGGCTTTTATGACCTGTATCTTGTGCCGACCTCCCATCTCATCCTGTGACTTAGAATGTCTTCACCACCTGGGAATGCAGCAGCTGGGTAGGTCTCAGCCTCCTTTTACACAGCTCCCTTTCAAGATGGAGTTGCTCTGGTTCACGTGCCTCGGACACTTCTGACGCTGTTGGTTTCTTGTGCCATTCTCCGGCCACACCCGTTCCCCACGGCTCTGGTCTTAATGATGGTGGATGGATTTTGCTGACTCATGGATGGCATGCCTCAGAATATGCCATTTCATATCTGGCCTCATTAGACGTGTGTCATTTTGTGTGTGTGTGTGTATGATGGAGTCTGGCTCTGTGCCCAGGCTGGAGTGCAATGGCGGGATCTTGGCTCACTGCAACCTCCGCTGCCTGGGTTCAAGTGATTCTCCTGCCTCAGCCTCCTGGGTAGCTGGGATCACAGGCACACACCACCATGCCCAGCTAATTTTTGTATTTTTAGTGGAGATGGGGTTTCACCTTGTTGGTCAGACTGGTCTTGAACTTTTGACTTTATGATCTGCCGCCTTGGCCTCCCAAAGTGCTGGGATTACAGGTGTGAGCCACCGCGCCTGGTGAGCAGATGTCTTTTGAATTTGTTCTCTAGTCTGTGCTTTACCTCTTCATTTTCTTAACAAAGCAGAACATTTTAATGTTGATGAAGTCCAGCACACTGATTTTAACGTGGATGGTTAGGGCTTCTGGTGACGGTCTGAGAAATGTTCTCCTGACCCACAGTCATGAAGACATTCTCCATGTTTTCTCCTAGAGGCTCTGTGTGTTCAGCTTTCACACAGTGAAGATTAGTTTTTGGGCGTGTTGTCAGGCAGCAGTTACAGTTTGCCCTCTCCACACGGACATACAGTTGTTCTCGAGCCATCCCCACTGAGGTGCTTTGGAGCTTTAGTCTAAATCAGTTGGCTGGACAGACACGAGTTTTTGGAGGACGGGGGTGGAGACAGTGGCAGGAGGAGCTGGCAGGAGGGATTCTCCTGCCTCAGCCTCCTGAGTAGCTGGAATTACAGGCGTGCACCACCACACACGGCTAACTTTTGTATCTTTAGTAGAGACGGGGTTTCACCTTGTTGGCCGGGCTGGTCTTGAACTCATGTGATCCACCTGCCTCGTCCTCCCAAAGTGCTGGGATTACAGGCATGAGCCACCACACCAGCCTTGGATGCCATTTCCTTTGACTTGATGTCCTCTTTCTCTTTTGCAGAATTAAAACAAGAAGACTATAAATACTTACATACGTCCTCCAAATTAGACAGATACAAAATAGCAAGACTGTTAACAGAAGAGGCAATTAAGGTAAATGCTCCTTGGGACTCAGTGGGGAGGGGGACACTTTTTTAAAAGAACATTTGTTTTGGAACTTGGAGTCTGTTTGTCTGGTGTCTGATGCACTGTGCCTGAGAGTTGCAGCCTTCTCCCTGTGGGACTTGGCTAGAGTTACATTTATTTGTTTGTTTATTTATTTTTGAGACAGTCTTGCTCTGTCGCCCAGGCTGGAGTACAGTGGCACAATCTCAGCTCACTGCAACCTCCACCTCCTGGGCTCAAGCAATTTCTGTGCCTCAGCCTCTTGAGTAGCTGGGACTACAGGTGCACGCCACCACACCTAGCTAATTTTTTTATTTATTAGTAGAATTGGAGGTTTCACTATGTTGGCCAGGCTGGTCTTGAACTCCTGACCTCAGGTAATCCTAGCACTTTGGGAGGCCGAGGCAGGAAGATCAGAAGTTCGAGACCAGTCTGGCCAATAGAGTGAAAACCCATCTCTACTAAAAATACAAAAAATTAGCTGGGTATGGTGGTGTGCACCTGTAATCCCAGCTACTCAGGAGGCTGAGGCAGGAGAATTGTGTGAACCAGGGAAGCAGAGGTTGCAATTAGCCAAGATCACGCCATTGCACTCCAGCCCTGGTGACAGTGTGCGACTCTTGTCTCAAAAAAAAAAAAAAAAAAAAATTAGCCAGGCATGGTGGCAGGGAGAATTGCTTGAACCTGGAAGGTGGAGGTTGCAGTGAGCCAAGATCACACCACTGCACTCTAGCCTGGGGTGGGGTGAGCCCTTCTGTGCTGGATGAGCCGCTGTGCAGGGGGCAGACCTGGTGCACCCAGCTCCCTATACTCACCTGGGCTGGCCTGCCTCCTGCTCGTGGAAGCTGAGGGCCTTCCCGGCGTGTGTGTTGCAGGCCAGGCCTGGCCAGCAAGTGATCTGGGGTCTCCAGCAACACAGCAGTGTGCCCTCCCACCTCCCCAGCTCTGTCTGGTTCCTCGGGGACACCCCACGCTCCCCCATAAAAGGGTGAAAGAGAAACCAGAGTGGGAGCCGGCATTTGTAGTGCTTACAATTTAAAAGATCAAATATCCAGGGTACGTAAAGAACTCACAAATCAGTAATGTAAAGGCAAAATGGGGCCGGGCGCGGTGGCTCATGCCTATAATCCCTGTGGTGTTCGCGCCAAAGGCTCGAGACAGTTAGTTGATTCGTCTCAGTTTGGCTGCTGGACCTGTACTGCATTTCCTCACCTCGAGGGCTGTCGAGTGAGACAAAGCCGTAAGCTGACTCACTAAAAGCAACAACAGAATGCAAAGCAAAGGCCTGCAGTTTATGAGGACATTGTGCTGTCTGCTTCCATGTCCCCCTTCAGTCTCTGTGTAAGCAATAAACTTGCTGCAATTGAAATGTCTAAGAGGAGCAGAGACCTCTGCCCATATTTTCCCTGGAGCCAAGCCTTTGTTTTAGCTCCTGATGCAAAACAGGTTTAACCAGCCACCTTAAGGGTGCTATTGTATCTTTGGAATGTAAAATCATTGAAATGTAAACTACTACCACTAGCCCCCTTAAACTGCTTCCTGAGCAGGATCTCACAAGCCCCGGATATCTATTTTATGGAGTTTTTGTTTCCTTTCTGTTTTCCCCTTTGTTTCTTTCTGCTGAGATGAAGTAAATGTAAACAAGACAAAAGGTATAAAAGCTGTAACCCACAAAAATAAATTTGCTGCGTTTTGGCCATATCTTCACGCAGCCCTCCAGACTCTACTTTTCTATATTCTTTCTTTTCCGCGCACTCTCTCTCTCAGGTTGAACGAGACATCTACGTTGGCGGTCTTGGGGACTCCCGCGGGTCGGCAGTCCCCCGGCAGACGTGCCGGACCCCGACATCTGGCGCCTTGGAACAGGGACCTGAGTACGAGAGGTGAAACTGGCGCCTTGGAACAGGGACCTGAGTACGAGAGGTACAGTGACGCACCCCAAATCAAAGGAGACAAGGTAAAGCCGCGGTTCTTGTAGTTCTGGACTCAAAATTCATCTGGAGTAAAATGGGGCAGTCTGAGTCCAAAAATAAGTTGATGTTCACGAAGTTATTACATCAAATGTTAAGAAATAGAGGTGTTGATGTAAAAAAGAAGCATGTTTCTAAGTTTTTAGAGATTGTTTATGTATTGTGTCCGTGGGTCCCTGAGGAGGGATCGTTAGATGAATCGACGTGGAGTAAAATAGGAACTAAGATTGAGGAATATGCCGCCGCTCATCAATTTTCTCCGCAGGCAGAATTGCTTCTCTCGGTCTGGCCTCACCTGCGCCAGGCTATCTGCCTGCCTCACTGCTCCCCTGGTGTTTCTCTTGCTTCTAGTTCCTCTTCTTTCTCTAGCAAATCTAATCCTGATGGTGGAGGGGGCGGCGGTAATTTACCACCTTGCAATCCTCTAAACGAGCCCGATTCCGCTCTCGGAGTCGGACATGAAGCCAGAAATGGGGGAGCTCTGGACGAAAAGATCGGAGCCGGAGCAGAAATCAGTGCTTCAGAGAGCGCGCAGGTAAGGGCTTCAGCTGTGCCCTCAATTTCTACCCTCGAGGAATTATCCAGGCTTCTGGCTTCGCTTTCCAAACCTCAAGCTTTCCCTGCTGTTACTACGCTTTCCTCTAAGCCTGTGGTGTGCTCTACGCCACGAGAACCTATCCTTGCAACTACTTATGCTTTTGAGTCTATGAAACAGGGATTTCCCGATTCTGACCTTCACCTCGTCTGTCCTGTTATAGAGGTGACCAATCAAAACGGCGAGATTGTTCGCCATTATGAACCTATTCCACCAAAATTCATGAAAGATTTCAAGGAGGCAGTGACTAATTACGGACCCACTGCACCTTATACTCTCTCTTTACTTGAAAATTTTGGTACTCAGGCCATGACCCCTGCAGATTGGCATCGCATCGCCAATGCCTGCCTTTCAGGTGGCGACTACTTATTGTGGAAAGCTTATTATGATGATGCCGCTTTCGAGTTGGCGGAAAAGAATGAGAGACAAAGAGTGGGAGTTAATTTACAGATGTTAAAAGGTACAGGTGATTATGAAAGTGTTCAGGCACAAGTTGCCCTCCCAGAAGCAGCATTTGGGCAGGTAAACGCTTTAGCTTTGCGTGCCTGGAGAAAGCTTCCCACTCATGGAGAATTTACTGATGAAATTACCAAAATTAAACAGGGAAATGAGGAACCGTACCAAAATTTTATCTCTCGATTAATGCAGGCAGTCAAACGGCAATTTGGAGATAGCGAGTCAGCTCAATTATTTACAAAACAATTGGCCTATGAAAATGCTAATACTACTTGCCAGTCCATGGAATACTCCTATTTTTGTCATTAGAAAGAAATCTGGTAAATGGAGACTTTTACAAGACCTTAGGAAAGTGAATGAAATTATGGAAATCATGGGACCACTGCAACCTGGTCTCCCTTCGCCTGTTGTTGTTCCTCAAAATTGGGAATTACTAGTCATTGATTTGAAAGATTGCTTCTTTTCCATCCCCTTGGCACCTCAAGATTGCTGCAGGTTTGCCTTCAGTGTTCCTGCAACCAATTTTGACAGGCCTTTTGAGCGCTATGAGTGGACGGTTCTTCCTCAAGGTATGGCGAACAGCCCTACCTTGTGTCAGAAATTTGTCGCTCAGGTAATTGCACCCGTCCGTGAGCGCTATCCGGATGTCCTTTTGTTACATTATATGGATGATCTCCTTTTGGCAGCTCCTTCCCCTGGCCTCCTACAGGAAGCCTTTCGGGATTTAAGCGACCTCCTTACAAATTCAAACTTAGTTATATCTCCTGACAAAGTCCAAAAGGTAACTCCTTTCCATTATTTGGGTCGCCTCATTGATTCCAATCAAGTGTCCTATAAGACTCCTGTCTTATCAACTGCCCATCTCATTACGCTGAATGATTTCCAAAAGTTTTTGGGAGACATTAACTGGATCAGGCCTAGTCTTAAATTAACTACCGGTCAGCTTAAGCCTCTTTTTGATATGCTCAGAGGCCCCGCAGACCCAAAGTCTCCCCGGACACTTACTAATGAAGCTAGACATGCCTTGCAATTGGTGCAAGATGCTCTCTCAGAACAAAAACTAAACCGTGTCACTACTGGAGTGTCTTGGTGTTTATGCATTTTACGCACCTCTTACACCCCCACAGGTCTTTTCTGGCAAAAAGGAATCTTAGAGTGGCTCCATCTGTCTGCCAGTCGGCCTCGTATTGCCACTCCTTATCACGATTTAGTATCTATGCTAATCGCCAAAGGCCGCCTCAGGGCACTCACTCTCTTTGGCTCTGACCCACCTATTGTGATTGTTCCTTACACCACCCAAGAACAATCTTGGTTGTGGTCATTTTCTGACTCATGGCAATTAGCTCTTGCAAATTTCACAGGGCAGCTTTCCTGCCACTATCCCAAAGACAAAATACTGCATTTTTATTCCAGATGTAATCTTATTTTCCCCAAGACATGTTCTTTGCAGCCGATTTCTCAGGCCGCTTTGGCATTCACAGACGGTTCCTCAAACGGACTTGCTGCTGGACAAATTGATGATGTTCCCTTTTCTTTCCAGACACCTGAAACTTCCGCCCAAAGGGTAGAATTGCTTGCTGTTCAACATGTGCTCTCCACCTGTGGTCAATCAGTTAATATATACTCTGACAGTCAATATGTAGTTAACCTGATCAATCTGCTAGAGACAGCACCCTTGTCATTTTCTGACAGTTCTGCTATAATACACCTACTTCTTCCTTTACAGCAGACTATCTGCAAGCGGACTCATCAATTCTTTATTGGTCACATTCGTGCACATACTGATTTACCCGGTCCTCTCTCTGCAGGCAACAGGAATGCTGATGCTCTCACACGCCCAATGATCGCTTCTGCCCTCTCTCCTCTAAGACAGGCTGAGATGTCCCATGCCCTGCACCACCAGGGCTCCCGTAGCCTGCGACTGCAGTTTCAGATCACCAGAGAACAAGCTCGTGCCATTGTTAAGCAGTGCCCTGCTTGTGTGACTCATTTACCTCAACCCACACATACTGGAGTAAACCCTCATGGTCTACAACCTGGCCACATCTTTCAGATTGATGTCACCCATATTGCTTCTTTTGGTCGTTTAAAATATGTGCATGTAACTATTGACACTTTTTCTCATTTCATAATAGCTTCAGCCCATACAGGAGAGGCAGTCAAAGACGTGACTGCTCATTGTCTACTAGTGTTCTCCAACCTAGGTGCACCAAAAATTTTGAAGACTGATAATGCTCCAGCTTACACCAGCTCTTCATTCCAAACCTTTTGTTCTCAATTTCAGGTGATTCATAAAACAGGAATTCCCTATAATCCTCAAGGACAGGGAATTGTTGAACGTGCTCATGCCACCCTTAAAACTTTATTACTTAAACTAAATAATTCACCTCCTTCCTTTTACAAGTCTCCACATGATGTACTTCGACATGCTCTTTATGTTCTAAATTTTTTAACCCTTGATGCAGAAGGTCACTCAGCAGCTAATCGTTTCTAGCACCCAAAGAGCTCAGCCACGCCTATGGTGTTATGGAGAGATTTATTTTCTAATCAATGGAATGGCCCTGACCCTGTATTAGTTTGGGGCAGAGGTCACGTTTATGTTTTTCCTAGGTCTGCCCCCTCACCTATCTGGGTGCCTGAGCGACACGTCAAGCATGCCCCGAAGAAGACAGTCCTCTCTAAAGCCAGTGACCATCCCTCTTTCTCGACTGACATCTCCTCGTCAGCCGAGCCCTCAGATGACTTCACCGAACTCCCTTCCCCTGAGAATCCGATGTCTACACCTATGGAAGACGACATCCTGCTGTGTCCATCGCCAGCGGCACCAGCTGATACCTCCTCAAAAGGTTCCAGTCCCGACCTGGACCCAGATGTGACACCTAGTGGCTGATGCATCACACATTGTTCGTCAGCAAGGACATTCTCTTAATCCGGTTACTCTATTTTTAGCCATGCTAGCCATTTTTTCTTGTGATTCTATGTCGGCAATTATAGCCATTGTGTCTGTGATAACTTCTACAGCTGCTGTTAGTCTTTCAAAATCCATTAATACTGCTGTATATGTGAATCATTTAGCCAAAAATGTTTCTATTGCTATGGGATCTCAAATGTCTATTGATGACAAGTTAGAAGCTAAACTGCATCATTTAAAGTTAGACAGTAAAATAGGCGTTAGCTAACATTTGAGGTGTTTGTACAAAAAAGAGGCACACAGAATGTCAGTCCTAGCAGAGGTGGCGGGCTCAAGCTGAAGAAATGTGGGTGCATGTGCTCCTCAGTGACATATAATCTAATATCACTTGCAAGGCCATTAGCCTCTAAAGATAATATTGACTATGATGCTGGACCTGAAGGGATGGCTGGTTAGTCAATGACGGGTAAGATCCTCAGGGGAGGACAACCTAAGACAGGCACAGCCGCAGTAAGGCCAGCATACACCGGGGATGTGCCCAGCCGGCAATCCCTCCTGAGGCTTTTGAGCATTACCCCACAATGCTGTCCATCTAGCTTGTCTTCCTAGTGAAGGTGACAGCTGCCACTGACTGCTGCTCGGACATGAAATTCCTGTGTGGTCTGTTTAAATGTACTACACCCTACATATTAATAATAGTAATGCTTAATGTTGTGCCTGCCATATGTCTTCCATCTTGTGTTCTCCACCCTCCGAGAGATGCAACTGAAGCTGTTTACACTTCATTTGCAAAGTAAAAAAACGGGAGATGTGGTGTTCGCGCCAAAGGCTCGAGACAGTTAGTTGATTCGTCTCAGTTTGGCTGCTGGACCTGTACTGCATTTCCTCACCTCGAGGGCTGTCGAGTGAGACAAAGCCGTAAGCTGACTCACTAAAAGCAACAACAGAATGCAAAGCAAAGGCCTGCAGTTTATGAGGACATTGTGCTGTCTGCTTCCATGTCCCCCTTCAGTCTCTGTGTAAGCAATAAACTTGCTGCAATTGAAATGTCTAAGAGGAGCAGAGACCTCTGCCCATATTTTCCCTGGAGCCAAGCCTTTGTTTTAGCTCCTGATGCAAAACAGGTTTAACCAGCCACCTTAAGGGTGCTATTGTATCTTTGGAATGTAAAATCATTGAAATGTAAACTACTACCACTAGCCCCCTTAAACTGCTTCCTGAGCAGGATCTCACAAGCCCCGGATATCTATTTTATGGAGTTTTTGTTTCCTTTCTGTTTTCCCCTTTGTTTCTTTCTGCTGAGATGACGTAAATGTAAACAAGACAAAAGGTATAAAAGCTGTAACCCACAAAAATAAATTTGCTGCGTTTTGGCCATATCTTCACGCAGCCCTCCAGACTCTACTTTTCTATATTCTTTCTTTTCCGCGCACTCTCTCTCTCAGGTTGAACGAGACATCTACGTTGGCGGTCTTGGGGACTCCCGCGGGTCGGCAGTCCCCCGGCAGACGTGCCGGACCCCGACAAATCCCAGCACTTTGGGAGGCCAAGGCAGGTGGATCACGAGGTCAAGAGATCAAGACCATCCTGGTCAATAAGGTGAAACCCCATCTCTACTAAAAATACAAAAAATTAGCTGGGCATGGTGGCGCGTGCCTGTAATCCCAGCTACTCAGGAAGCTGAGACAGGAGAATTGCCTGAACCCAGAAGGCGGAGGTTGCAGTGAGCCGAGATCGCGCCATTGCACTCCAGCCTGGGTAACAAGAGCGAAACTCCGTCTCAAAAAAAAAAAAAAAAAAAAGAACCTTTCCTTTCTGGTCACAGCTAGACTGTTTGGCACAAGAGGCCTAGCCTTTGGCCTGTCCACTTTTAACACGTCTTCCTCACTAAGCATAATCATCTAGCTTTTGATTTAAAGTGAGAGGTGTGTGAGTCTTCCTTTCACTTGAACACTTATTTCCATACTGCTGTGTTTCAGAGAATAGGGAGGCCTGATGAGGGGGAGAGAAATGGGGGCATGGCCAGTCAGAACATTTATGGGGGCATGGCCAGTGAGAACATTTATAGATTAAGTTCTCTGTCTTACATGGTTCATGGAGCCCCCAAACAACTAAAATGGTAACATCACACATCACAAATCACAGATCACCATGACAGATATAGTAACAATGAAAAAGTTTGAAATATTTGAGAATTACAAAAATGTGATACAGAGACAGGAAGTGAGCAGGTACTGCTGGAAAAACAGCACCAATAGACTTGCTCAATGCAGGGTTGCCACAGACCTTCAATTTGTAAATAATGCAACTATCTTCAAAGTTCAGTAAAGTGACTTGCAGGAAAATGAGGTCTGCTTGTGCCTTGTTAGGGCAGCCACAGCCAGTGAATGCAAGGCCCCTGGGCAATGACTCCCCCACATTTTTGGGGAGCCATAGAGGCAACTGTGGTGTGAACATAAGGAAAGCCTGGGAACAGGGGAGAGCCAGAGAGGTCCAGCAACCACCTGCAGCCCAAAGAATCAGGCCAGGTGAGCCCCTGTGCATGTGAGCGTCCAGTGCTTTCTCTATGGCAACAGGGGTGGAAGCATGCATGGTATAGTGGGTCAGGCTTGAGGCAAGGTGCCATCAGGCCATGTCTGTTGGTGATATAAGGCGGCGGGCCTGGTGGCAGGGCAAACAGCATGAAGGCTAAGACTGAGTTCAAGGAGCATCTCCCTCTGAGGCCTCCAACAATGAGGTTCAGCCCTGTAGGCCTCCTACAGCATCTCCAGTAGCAGGGGACAGGAAAGCATGACTGAGCTAATTCAAGGCAGCACACAGACCAGGTTCCACCAATGACATTCTCTTGTCCTTTTCCAAAGAATGGGACCATTACATTAACTTCATTTTTTAAACCGCTAGATGTCACCATTGTGCCAACTCCATCTAGCTGTACCAGACCACGCTCTGTGGAAGGCAGACAGAACAAGGACATAAGCCACAAAGGCCTGTGGAGGCTGGGAGGGCAGCTGGTAGAAACCCCTGAGTGAAGGACCAAGGTTGAGAAGGAGCTAACAGAAAGCGACAGTCTCCTGGATCTGGAGAACACGGCTTCGGATGACTTTCCAACAGTGTTTCTCAACTGTGGCTGCACACCAGGAACTTTCAGAAAACTTTAAAAAACTGATGCTTGGGTCCCACCCTCAAGAACGTCTGTGTGAATTAGTAAAGAATTGGGGCAGGCACTAAGAGTTTTGAAAAATCCCCCAGTAGTCTTAATGTAGAGCCAAGATTAAGATTGAGAACCACCGCGGGGCGTGGTGGCTCACACCTGTAATACTAGGTGATGTGGGAGGCTGATGTGGGAGGATCCCTTGAGGCCAGGAGTTCAAGACCAGCCCAGGAAAAATAGTCAGACCCCATCTCTACAATAAAAATACGATTACTTGGCCTGGTGGTTCACCCCTGTAGTCTCAGCTACTCAGGAAGCTGAGGTGGGAGGATCACTTAAGCCCAGGAGGTCAAGGCTGCAGTGAGCTATGATTACACCACAGCAGTCCAGCCTGGGCAACAGTGAGACCTTGTCTCTGTTACCTAAAAGAAAAGATTGAGAACTGCTACTATAGGCTATAATTGTAAATCCAGATATTGTACATGGAACAAATATTTATCAATTGCATTACAGTTGAAATGTACTCTAGGAGTTTGTTTTCATGAATAACAGAATAAAGGAAAGGCAATGGATATTTTGGAGCAGGGGTCAGATTGTGGAAATTGAACCCACTACATTGTGTTTTCCTATGATTGAATTTAATTTGAAAGGTATCTAACAAACATTTTATGTGGCACCCTGTGTGAGTATCACAACGTACGATCACTGTGAAGAACTCTGATGTCGAGGGCAGATTACTGTATGTCGCATCTGCTACCTCCTACCTTTGCAACTGTCAGTTCTGGAGGGTGAAGGTGGTGTGGAAAAGAACTTACAGAAAGGTAGGCAATGAAAGCTGTAAAGAGCTTACTACATAGTTATTAAAATGCGGCTGGTTTTTAAAGGTTAGTGAAGAGTCCATCTGAGACTCTTCTTTCTTTTAGAAGAATGCTCATAAACCTCCAATGGCCACTACCCTGGGAAAGTCTGGAATGCAGTGACTACAATGAATAACAGTGTTTGAGTTTTGTGACATGCTTATCTTGTTGATTGCTACAAAATCCAAGCAGCTTTGAAGACTTGGATAGCTTGAAACCTAAAACATTCATGCAAGGTGAAGGGGACCGACATATTCTTATTTTGGAAGCAAAAATAGAACTTCCAGCCTATTCTACATGGACTACAAAATTTTCATAGATCTTATTTCCTTGGCCTTCCATTTCTAAAATCCTCACCCTACTTCCTCTCTTTTCTAGAACACCTGCATGTAAACAGGTAAGAGTAAGATGGTAAATAGACTTGGTGAGACTGGAAGCTAACACCCCAAAACAGAGCACAGTAAGCTGTAAGCATCCCAGCCTGTAAAATGAAAGCATAGCTTTCCTCTCCAGGCTTATTACAATGAGGTAAAGCTAGTCCTATGGCCAACACTCATTCATACCCTCTCCAGTCTAAAGAAAAGACTAGAAATTTGAAAAAGTTTTCTAAACTAAATGGAATTTGTGAAAATGTGGAGTAACGGTTTTAGGTGAGAAAAATTGTATTTTTTCCTCTCCCTATCCAAGTCAAACTAGGGAGTACTCTGCAAAGACCACTTGAAGAAACTGCATGCCTAAAAGACAGGGGCCTGGCATCCCCTTTACCTTGTTAAATACCTGTAGGAGCAGTGGATCTGCCAATCTTCACTCTCTGTGTGAGCAAAGGAAAAAGAAAGAAATACAGTAATGGCTGGGTTAAAAAAAAAAAAAGCTTGCAATAGGGTGGCCAGCACTCCCACTCTGTGGTAGGTGAGGATCATGAGTTTTCAATGGGCCACGTGGAAACTGATAATCAGCCAGTATTAAGCTTGTCTTGCCAGTGCCCCTCCCTCCCACCTGCAAGGATTCTGACCAGTAGGGGTGGAGTACCATAGCAATAAGGTATTTTGAAAAGTATCACCTGGGGCAGAAGATATTTGGAGAAGCCAAATTAAAAAATTTCTCCTACATGAGAGAATTATGCAGTGAGAAGCCTCAGGGACCTCTGGAAGCACTGAAATAGCCAGGGAAGAAGTGTCAACTGTAGCTGCAAAATAAAGGTGCTTTTGCTGCTTACCTATAATACCCGCTTTCAGATCCTGCTTTTGGAGAACCCCAAAGCATTAGGAGGAAAAGAGAAGAGGCAATGAAAGAGAATCAAAAGGGCCTACTTCCCAGTGTGCAAGGCAGTTCTGAGCTGGAGAGGGGAAATGCTTTGAATTGAACATAAAAACAAAATTTCAAGCTAGACTAACCGGGCCAACCATTTTAACACCACCTGTGGGATCTGCCTAATACGCCATGAAGGAGCAGGAAAGGAAGAGCCAACAGCATTTGTGTGAAGACTGATAGAAAAAAACAATCATTTTGTCTTGTAGTCCACCAAATACATGATTGTTCAAAAAATTATGAGAGTTTCACCCTAGACACAGAATCCAACTTTTCTCAAAGATAGTTATTATGGAGGAGCAGAGACCCATTTGACTGTCCTATGCTTTTCCTATGATTTCTTTTTGGCTGCAGGCATGCCAGCCTGCACACATGTCCTTGGGTGGCTGGTTATATGTTCTAGATCTTTAGTAAATGATCTGTCTCAAAGCACTTGTGACTCAAAGTTTCAACCCTAATGCAAAAAGTCATAGAAAGCACAAACTCCTTTTAAAAAATCTGAATCTGTAGGTAAGTAGGGCAGTAGGGAAGGGAACACTTTGCATAGCAAAATGGAAATAAGAAGTAATGCAATTTGACCGGGCACAATAGCTCACACCTGTAATCCCAGCACTTTGGGAGGCCGAGGCAGGTGGATCAGTTGAGGTCAAGGAGTTCAAGACCAGCCTGGCCAATATGTTGAAACCCCGCCTCTACTAAAAATACAGAAATTAGCATGATGTGGTGGTGGGCACCTGTAATCCCAGCTTCTCAGGAAGCTGAGGTGGGAGAATTGCTTGAACTTGGGAAGTAAGTTGCAGTAAGCCGAGATCACGCCATTGCACTCCAACCTGGGCATCGCAGCGAGACTCCATCTCAAAATAAAAACCAAAACCAAAATCAAAACAACAACAAAGTCATACAATTTAATCAGCTTTTAATGTTTTCTCCTCTCTTAAGTAGTACGAACTCAATGACTCTCCTCATGTATCATATGCTAGAGATGAAACGCCCAATTGTTTTTGCTGGAAACTTGACAAGAGCCTGTTTCTTTAATCTTTCTAATGAGTTTTTGAAGGAATCCTGCTTAATAAATTCTCCTTT